GTATAAGGATCAGAGTGTTTAAATAGGTACCCTCCTAGTAGGTTACAGGCATGGCAGCTAGTGTAGAACCCTTAGGCAGACTACTTAAATAGGTAACCAAAAGTTACATGTATGACTAGTTGCACACTTACCTTGTACAAGTCATATGTAATTCATTAACCAAAAACACAATAAAGGCGGTAGCTACCGATAACATCGGCTTTAATAAAATAAAAAAAAAAAAAAAAAACAATAAAATACACTTTGTCTTATAAGTTAAAATAATTTAATATATAAAAGAGAGTTAACATTTTTAAAAATAATTAATAATTTGAAAGACTTTACTTAAAAATAAATATTTTACTATTAATTATTATAAAATTTATATATAAATATTAAATGCCAAAAAGAGACAACTGAAATGTACTAAAAAAATAAAAGATGTAAATTTTACTTAATAAAAAACTTCTATTACTATTTAATTAAATAGATCTTAATACCTTTATATTTTATATATTAAATTGATAAGAATTAGTTTGTTAAACACTGGCTTTTTTGTATAAATTTAGATGTTTAGTATATTTAGTATTTCATTTGTTTTATTGTTAAATTGGTATTCTTAGATTACAGTAATTAGATTAATATAGCTTTTAAATTTGTTTAACACTGTAATGTAATGTATTTGCATTTGTAAGCTATAAATTAAAAAGGTTAATTAATTCTTTATTAATTTATGAATTTTTTTATAAAGTTTTTTTTTATTTTTATTAATATTAAAAAATTTATATAATTTGATTGGTTAATTATCATATATAATCACAAGTAAACTTACAAAAATTAATCAATCATATGACATTTCTTAAGTATGGGCATGCCTTTTGACTATATGGCATGTTCCTGTGCCCTGAACCCTAATATTATCCCTTAGTATTGCATTGCACTTATTGAGGCCCGACCATACAAGCACTATCAAGAAATATCGATATATTACCAAATTTATGAAAAAATAGTACCATATAGCGTAGGCTAAAAGAGGCCTAAAATATATATTAAAATCGATAATTATAATTGACATCCCCTGGTGACACTCACATAGTACAACTTATATCTCCTATGCTAACTATAATATTCCTCCGACTATAATCACATATATGCAGATAACATGTTAAAGTGCCCAAGAATTTTAATCCACATTATAAAGTACATTAACGTGAATCATCATGTAATTTCGTTCGATTTAGCAACCTAAAATTAGCTTCTCTAATAACGGGAATTCTATTGAATATAAAATGAAAGAATTACAATTACTTTAATAATCACTGCATTTAAGCTGAAAAGGACAAGAATTTATAAAAATTCAAAATTACAATGATTTCATAAAATGTGTAGTAAAAATAAATAAGGTTATAAAAAGTAATTTGCAAGAGGTAGGGATTGGACCGGGTAAAAATGATTATTATATAACCATCTGAGATATATATAATTTACCCAGGTAAGTCGGGTAAACTAATAATACCCGGGTAAAGATTTCTCAACGGGTCCACTCTCTAGCGAGAGGAACGAAAAAACTTGTTTCCCCAAAGTTGATCGCCTGGCAAACTATAATTTTTGAACAGAACGTTCAACTCGACACCAGACAAAACATTATTATCGCGTTACTTGAAAAACTGTAGAAGTAAAAAGAAATTAGACTAGTAATTTCACGTTATTATCTTTATTTTCTTGTGAAGATTAAAGAAGTTAAAAGTTTTAAAAGACGGAAGCAACGAAATTATTTATTAAAATATTAATCCGGATTTATTAATAAATCCATTAAATCCGGATTTAATCAACAGGTATTAACTCTACTTCAATACTTGTTAACATTTTTTTTAATAAAATTATCAGAGTGACAACATAATTTCTAGTTAAGAAGCTACGCTTTTAGAATTTTTGGAATATCCTATGTATGAAGTCTGTGGATAATGTTAGAATACTTATATAAACTTATTAACCATAACATAGTATAGACAGATTAATTTTACCTATCATTTCACATTCCTTCTTATTGCCACGAGTCCCAGTTAATGTAAGTAATGATAGAAGTCACTTTGAAAATTTAAATCTCGCATATCATCTTGATCCTCTGCCAAAATATAAATTGTACTGTGACTTTCAAATGGCATACTCGCCCATCTAGCCATTAACATTGTTGAGCGTATCTTGTTCCCCTACATTAATGTTACATTTGTCAGAAGGATTTTCAATCATCGTAACGGGCAATCCCTTTCGACCGACTAAGGCATTCTCCCATTCAACATTTCCAGTGTCGTTGATGTTATTACTTTCTTCATCAAATTCACTCAGGTCGAATCGGGAATCGGGAAATCTTTTAATGGAAAACATGACAACACAGTATGATATTTTGTTTCGGAAAGTGCGTCATCTAATGATGCCCTATGTGATTTACTTGAAATTGGCAATATAATTGGTTTGATGCATGGATGTGTTGTATAAAGAATCGTATCTGTTGATATCACACAAAATTTTTTTATTACTGTATAATGTACGTTAGAAAATAAAATTCAATTTATATACCATATATTGCAGCATCATCGATATTATTTTCCCAAACAACGTTATTTAATAGTATAAGGTATAAATGTCCGCATTCACTCAAACATCCAAGTCTTGGAGCTTGCACTCAAATTTGCGTAGTGTTCACCCTTTTCCGTACACCCATTACCAATTTTATCATTCTCATTATCCACCACTTTTAATCAAATTTTCTTCACAATTATAGCGCACACAAAGTTTTCCATCTAATATTTTTAACTTTGATTTGAAAAGCAGTGGAGCTTAAAAAAAATAAAATTTTGCGTAACACAAAGGCTTGTTACTGGATACGAATTAGAGAGATTGTACTGTGCCACTCAAAACGAAAAGAACGAAGAGAGCGTTGGTTTCTATAGACGGTTCTGTTTCTTTATTCTAAATAAATTAAAAAAAAAATTAAGCACATCATAACATCATCGTACCCATAACACAAGCTTGCCTCATTGGCTTCACTCATGCTATATTCTCAGGTCTACAACCAGCGATTTCACTCCTGGAAGTCCTAAAGACCCTGGCAGAAGGACTCACTCTGGCCAGCGTAACTTACACCCAAGAATATACATAATCATGCAATGCTTAGTATAAGAGATCTCGATTATACCTTGACGGTTCTGTTTCTTTATTCTAAATAAATTAAAAAAAAAAAATAAGCACATTATAACATCATCATAATCTATTATAAAATAAAAAGAAAATGTATTTTTTTTAGCATGTACATTTTTTTAAGTCAGTATCAATTAGGCCATTGATTGGGTCTTCGTTACTTTCATCACTAAAGTTCTTCTCAACTACGAACCTCGAAATGTTTTGACATATTTTAATGATTTGTTTTTTATATTTGAAACGCTTTTCATTTTCCTAAAAAAAAAATAAAAATAAAAAAATATGAGCACATCATACCATCATCGTGTTTATGATTGGAACGTATCTGTGATATTGCCCTATAACCATGCTCACGGGTCTACAGTGGGCGATTATACCAGCGAAAGACAGTCCCGGTATCTCACTCAACCACCAGCGTGACTTACACCCGCGTGCCCACTAGGCATGCAATACCCAGAAAGTGCAAGACTTACATAGTTGCCTCTCACTCATTGTATTTTTTCAATGGTTCCTTCTTTGGACGTCCGTTGGTTTCCATAATCTATTATATGAAATAAAGAAAAAATACGTGAAAATGTGTCGAAATTTTATAAAAATTTTTTGTGAATGCATTTTTTTAAGGGTAAGCTGGATACAAAATATGGACACCATGTTTAAGCAAACCTACAAATGTTAATATAATTTTTCTTCAAAAATAAATAGCAAACTTACGGTTGTGGATTCTTTTCTGTATAAGGTTCAATGACGCGACAAAAAAAATTGGGACCGTCTTAACAGCAAGTCAAGTGAGATAATAATAATAATAATAAAAGCTTCATAAGAGGTGGTGCGCACAATCCGCACAGCGAAAAGTAATAACTACTGAGTGGGAAAAAAAAAGTTTTTTTTGTAAACCTAAGTACGTCTTCCATAGTAGCTTTTTATATATTTTGTTTTTTGTTTAAAGATCTCCTTTTCTATTGATTATATAGATATCAAAAATATAATCGTAATTTATTAACGTTAAATAAAAAGTTTCACTACTATTTGGTAAAATATATATATTTGATATACGTACAATCATGATTGATTGTCGATCCTTACTAAATTTTTAATTGGGCAATTTATCATATGATCGATTATAATTTCATATCGATATCAGCTAATTAGACGCATTTTAATTATTCCGGACCAGTTCGAAAGAAAAAAGTGAAATACTCAAAAACTAGTGTTTTGTATTATTTGCCCTAAAAAGAAAAGAGGCATTCGGCATTCATTTTTGTTGTTTTCAACGCCTGACTTCTTATCCTAAAGATTTCATTACACCTGATCTTTCGATCTAATTGGATAAAAATCACGAGGAGGGGAAAATTTCTAAAATGATCGCATCAAGATTAGAATTAAAGATTATATATTGGAGTAGGAAAAATTGTGAATATTTTTTATTTGATCTATTCCTTTTTAGGTTCTTTTTTCTCTCACCCTTTGTTCTCTCGATTTTTCCCACCGCAAAAACTTGTTTTTGACGAGTCAAGAGACATCAACAATAATGCAAA